CCGGTAAAGTATATTGTATAGTACAGGATACAGGTGTTGAAGTTTACCATGAATTACCCTGCATCGCACGGCATCATGTTGATTTGCACCGTACCCCGCCCACCAGCTGAGCCCCTCTTCATGTTTGAGGACGGACGTGTTGAAAACGTTTCGGGCCCCGGAGAGTTCGCGAAAGAGATTCACCCTTGTCCTCGCCGTCGTAGTCCTCATCATGGTCCTCATCCCCATGCGCACCATATTCCTCATCCCCATCATCCACCCGCGATACGAGGCTCCCACAAACGACAACGGTCTCGGTCGTCCCTTCCGTGGATCGACGGCCGAAGCTCCAAAAGCAGCTGTTCAAGATGTCGCCTCCAATTGGTCGGTGCACGTTCCGTTGCCTTCGCCCCGTGCTGTCGAAGATTGGCAATCAATGTCAAATCCAGAATGCAAAACTTGAAACACCGTGCGCACAGGCCCTAAGGCCCTATGGAAACAAACAACTTGACTCTCTCTGTTGCACAGAAAACAACGACAACACGTTCTCCACAATTCCAGTCTGGCGACCTGGTGTCCATGCTTCTCATCGCTGCGATGCTTTGCTCGAAGCGAGCGCAAAGCCACCAGAGCGGCGCTCAGCCTTGCCTCCTCTTGGGAGGCTGAGGGTGCACCTGGCAGGAACGAAAAGCAGAACAGCAGCATAACAAAAAAGAGCGCATAAGAGCGCAGCCGCACATGCCGCACCTGCGTGCGAGACTCCGGCGAAAGCCACGCTTGCGCGGTGGACGCCGCCACTCTCCTCCACCGTGTACTCCACCAGGGGAGGCTCGAAGGCCGGGTCCAGTAGAAACTCTTTCAAGGTCACCTGAGGACTGCGGGCCACGGCCCGAAACGGGGAAAGCTTGAGTCAGTTGTTTACGGGCTCGCCTTGCGTGGGGGGCCCAGCTTCGCCGCTGCGACCTCCAGCTGCCCATGCGCCCGTTGCATCGCCTGAAACTGTCGGGAGATGTCGGGAGCAAACAAATTGGGGTCGTGACATGTCGTGACATGCTGAGGGCCAGGCCTGCTCCGCGAGGAAGGTGGCCTTCATGTCATTCGAGCCTGCGACGGCGACTTCTTCGCTTCTCTCACCATACAACCAGTCTAGAGGATCCCCACACAGTGGGAGGCGAGAGCAAATCGGGATGTGGCCCGCTGTGGTGCAAACCACACTCAAAGCAGGCCCTAGCCCTAGCTGCTCAAGCCCCCACCCTGCGGTTCTAGCCTGCGGTTTCCTGCACCTTCAAGCTTTGAGCGTTGCAGGTTGTGGGCATGGCGAGGTGAGCTCTTGGAAGAAGCTGAGTGACGTTTCAATGTACCGTGCCAAGGGGCGCTGGAGACCCACGGAACACCACAGAACTATACACAGCTTGCACTGCGCTCACGATGATATGCAAGAAAACCTGTTCGAACCTTGCTGAAGCAGCGGCGCGGAATGCACTGATGTCTCATGCACCCTTCAACTGCCACCTCAAGCTCCTCAGACAACGGCACAAGCCTGAGGCTTCAAGGGCAATTGCCAACAGCGCCAAGGACACTGCAAGCACCTCGGGTTGAGTGATAAGATTCGGACGCCAAGACGTTCAGGGGTTTCATAGCTGCCAGTTTGAAGCATGAGGGTCTATGAACGTTTCTTGGTTGGAGGCTCAGGGTTCTCCGCACGGCCAGTATATGGTGAGGATTCGGACATATCTTGGACACGCGAACTTTTGAACACATCAGCTGCTTTAAACAAGACTGCTTAAACGTCAAACTCCATACTAAAGCCACCTTCAGTCTTCAAAAGGCTTCATCGATTCCATCGCAGTATCCAGTGGTCGCAGGGCGGGCCTCCCTTTCAGCCTGCAGCTGAGGCCTCTGCCACTCGGAGCTGACGGCGACTTCGCTGCAAAGGCACCATGCCGAATACCGTAATCGAAGGCTGCGCAAGCTCAAGCCGCACAACTCAACAGAAGCTTGAACGCCGAAGCTTCGCATATACCATCACATCCCATGCTTGCACGCTGGACCCACTCTAAATACCTGCTGACACGGGAGCCATTGATGAAGTTGATGATGTCTTGGGCATAAGACTTCGGAATACTCACGGGCTACCACCAGTCTCGAGCACACTGGAACAGAGGTGATCAATTCGTCGCAACGTCTTCATCTCTGCGGAAGACTGCACAGGACTTTGCATTGCTGAGCCTGGAATGCAAGCATGAACTCTGAACAGATGAGCAAGAAACAAGCTTCCGAACATGGACAGGCAACAAAAGTCGGCCCGTGTCTTCCTTTTGCTTCGGAAAATTCGGGCAGGGTGGTCTCAGGAGGTCTTTGCCCCCTTGCGCTGCGTCGACGTCCGCTGGCTCTGCAGTGTGCAGCGCCTCTCATTGCAGTAGACTTAGTGGGCTGCATAGCCGTGATAAGCTTGAAGGCTGTACTTGTTTCCCAGGGGCGATACTCAGGAATAGAATGTAATAGAGTTATTTGTGATTGAAGCTCTGCTGCCTGTCGTCAACAGTGCTCAGACAAGAGGATGGGTGATGACGGTGATGGGATGAGCATCCAATCATGCTTCAGGGCGACCAAGCTTACACCAA